CCTCTTAGGAATAGGACAATTTTTCCATTACTAAAACTTCCCAGCCCTTTTTAAACCAACCTGTGATGTTAAGAATGTCACTTCTCTTCCAGGCTTTTGCAAGTGTAATTTGTGCAGCTGTTAGAAGATGAGTGATCAATTCCCTATGACTCTTATATGTTGCAGAGTTCTCAGGAAGATTCAATAAGAACACTAAGGAGTTATCTGATAGCTGGCATTTTGTTCCCTTACCATGTCTCTAAACTTTTTCCAAAACAGTTTGATACTGAGACACAGCCATCATATATGGTATAATCCCCTCAGACTGACTGCACGCTTTCCACAATTTGCCTGTTCTGATATCATACATATTTAACTGGGGTGACATATAGCATTGATGTTGAATTTTAAAATAATTTTCTCTTATTGTCTTGCAAATGGATGTGTGAGGACTTTTGCTCTAGATGGTCTTTCTATCTCATTAGTCAGATTCTGAACTTTCTCAGGTGACATTTCTTTATTTATGAGGATATCTTTGATTACAGCCTTGAAAGAATCCTATTAAAACATTTTTTTAAATTTGATTTATATTATTTTTAGTGAAATAACGCCTGATCTCTTCTCTAACGGCTCAAACTCCTTCCTGATCAGACAGCAGTATGGTATTCAATTGCCATATTTTCATCTCCCGATCTCTAGTAAGTAACAGAATTGGTTCATTGACTGACCTGGCAATTCCACCTTGTTTTCTTGATATAGCATTGTATGAAATCAGGATTACGTCTATTTGTGCATATAGTTTGTGTGGGTTGAATAAAAATCTTTCTTTTGGAGTTAAACATATCCTGGAGCCAAAGTACATGCTTATCTACTGTTCAACTTACTGTTGTGTCTGATATACTATCCTTTGTTAGAGTTCTGTCAGACCTATCTATTTTTGGGTCCGTTTCACAATTGCAATCTCCTCTCAACACAACATTTCCCTCTTCAAATGTCTCCTAAAGTTTGAGAGAGATTTTTCAGGAATGAGATCCAGTCCTCTTTAGATGCACAAATGCTCTCTAAAGTTAGCATTTGTCACTAATAGCTCCATTAGCAAGTATATATCTGCCACCCTTATCCATGTATTTTTCTTTTAGCTGAAAAGGTAAATGTTTTGCTATGATAATTGCAGCTGCTCTTCCATTCAGTTCACCTGAAGATATATATGGGGGGTGGAATCATTTGGTTTTTATGTAATTCATACGTCCCTCTTTAAGCTGGGTTTCTTGAATGAAACAAAAATCTGGTGCTTCTTCTCTGATGACTTGTAGCACCGTCATTCTTTTAACATCATTGTTAAGATCCTTAACATTCTCCGGTAAAATAGAGTGGTCCAACTGGTAGCCCACAAGAGGTAAAGTTGCAGTACCTGGGCTCCCACCCTGCCTCTATTCCTCCCATTATTCCCACCACCTTTTTTTTAATTAGGTTCAGTCTAACGTTTCAAACCTCGCTTCTAGTAGCATACCAAATGCAACAAAACTGTGTAGGATATACTTATATTTAGAAAACTGCTTCCTAATATTCATGTTCATAAAGATCTTTTTGCAAATCAGTAGTTTGAAAGCTCTTTATTTCCAGGGGAGAAAGGGCAGTTCTTCCTCTGGCTGAGAGCTCCTGGGTGACTCTCATCTTCCCAGCCAGGGCTGACATCTGTCCCTGGAAAGAGGCAAAGTGACCATCCTTGGGTCCTCCAGCATTGTACTCATTTGTGTCTCCAGCATTGCGCTGCTCAAGCACTGCACAGTGTCCAATGTAGGTGTAGCCTGGCTGAGATTCACTGATACAGAGACACTTCTTGCTGTATTGGGATCCTTTCCAGTAGAGACAAGCCCGAAAACTCCTTTATCGAGGTAAAGGTTTGTATATGTCTCAGCACTTTACTGAAGCAATAAAGCTAAAACCACAAAGACCTTTTTAATCCAAGGCCTGATATTTGGGGTACCCCCCAGCTCTGCACCCTAGCTCCTCAGCACTGTGGGGACCAGGTAGGGCCAGGGACTGGTTTTCCTCCTGCTCACCTTTGTCACAGCACAGTGACTGCCCAGGGAGGCTGCAGGGAAGGGGGCTGGTCTGTAATTCTCTCATCACTTATTTTTCCTTCTGCCCTGTTCAGTCTCTCCTTTTTTTTTTTTTTTTTCTCCTTTCTCCCTCTTCCCTCCCCTCTGCCTGGGACATTTGATCACTGTCCTATGTCCAGGGCCATTCATTCTCCTGTAGCTGGATCAGCTTTTGCAGTTCAGAGAAGAGCTTTGTGTTTCTTTCTCTCACCATCTGCAAATGCTGCTTGCCACATCCAGTTTCTTTTACTTTCTTGACCAGGTTAGTTACATCATCTGCAAATGCTTAATCTAAAGCAAGCTTTGGGAACTCCTGCTTTAGCCACACATCTGCAGCTTTGCACAAACCCCTTAAAATGGCCAAGGCAGGTGGTTTTGGCTCTTTGTTTTCCTCTGTATCCCTAGATTCACATCCCCAGAGCAACTTCAGCTCCCTCTTTCAGTTCTCTTCTATACAGAGTGTATATTTTGGCTGTACCACTTCAATTTACAGACACACATTATTATCTCAATAGGATTCTGGTTGACAATGTACAAATCAATTCTTATCAAAAGTCAAAGCATCAGTTGTTACTTTTAACTACTATTGTTTTCCAAAGAGCAATTATTTTCAAGTGGCCTGCCCTAATATTAGTGGCCTTGATAAACTGATTCTTATTCTACTTTCCAGGCCACTGCTTATGGCTTAAACGCAGCCTTCTTCATTATTGTTCAGGCTTATTGACGATTGATTATGTACCAACTAAAGTACATAGTAGTCATAACTTAGGCTTGTCTTAAGTCTTTAGTCCACATGTCAGTGTGGTCTGTCAGGCACTGACCACATCTACAGTTTACAGGTTCTCCTATTGATTTTCCCTGGATCAGAATTTCATTTATGTTGACTGTGTGGATGGGGGCTTTGCCTTCCTCTGCAGCACAGGCAGTGTCCTTCCTTTAGCATCTTCCGAGCATATATTAACTACTTCTCATTATTACATTGGCAAGGCATTAGAAGTTTCCCCTTTTTTCACTTGTTGCATGTTGTAGGGTGCTCTTGGTGTTTCAGGTACAGTACTGTGGCTTGTAGATGAGGGTCGCAGCAATGATAATGGGAGTTCCTTGTTAAAGATAGCTTGTGAATGCCAGGGACTGGACTCCATGGCATACGAGGCCCCTTCCAATTCTGTGTTTCTATCCATGCAAATTTTAGTGCCATCTATACGATCAGATATCTGTTGTATTTTCTGAGGAAACATCATAGGGGCTGAATATAACCCAAAGGACACCCCGTGGGAATAGTGTATCTCCCAAATAGAGTGCCGAATATTCACAAACATATTCCAACTGGCTCAAGCTAGAACCTCTTAAGAGGTAAAGTTGCTTGCAAAAGTAGAAGGGGGATCCTAGTCCAAGAGCTTGAATTCAACTGCTTTGTGGAAGCTTGAAAAGCCAACGCATGAGCATGATGCAGCAATGTCTGCCTGAGTCTGCAAACTGCCTGAAACAACAACTTGGCAGGGGGGGAGATGAGTCTCCTCCTTCACAGACTATTGACCCTGAAGGTTAATGGTGGCACATCAGCATTGTTATCTGTTTCATAATTGATCCAAAAGCTCAAGAAAGAACAGGGTGGCCAGGGTACAAAGTTCTGTACAATCTGTTGAGTTTGGTGTCTCATTACCAAAGCAACACTCTTTTAAGCTCTTTTTAATTTCTCTATCTCCAGCCCTCCCTTTTCTGTCTTCTGAACAGGTCTTTTGGTCACTGCCCTTTTTCCAGGGGTTTTGACTTTCACTTCAGCTCCTGCCAGTGCTACTGGGAGCAAGAGCCTGTGGGTCAGTGACAGCAGCAGCTCTGGGACTTGTGAATCCCTTGGCTCAGAGGTGGGTGAGGAGGGGCCATGTGGTCCCTGCCTATTCCAGCACTTTCCCAGGGGTCCCACTCCATTGCCTGGAGTCTCCAGCTCAGGAGCTGGTGTTGGCAGAGCCCAGCGCTGCCCTGGGGGCCTGGTTTTAGCCAGCAGAGAGAATGCATGATCCCTTCACCCCATCCCCAGGCTGGGTAAAGACAAGACCTTTAAGCATTTCTGCCTCTGATGCAGCCTTCACCGGTGAAGGGGCAGATGAGCAGGCTATACTCTGCACTGTGCTTGATACAGAAGCCTCTGGATTTGGAAGTGCTAAGTAGAAAGAGAGCTGAAGTTACTTCTCTACAAGCAAAAACCACAGCCTGTTGGTGAACATGGCTAAGAAAACCCCCACCTTATTGTTTCTCTTCTGGAAAAAGAAACACAGCCCAGGAAGGATCTAACTGAATTATTTCTCTCTTTCCTGAACAGAGAAGCCCCCAAAACAAACAGCCCAAAGACCAAACCCTAGTGAAACCTGCAACTATTACCGTCCAGAGGGCAACGTGGACCTTTTTCCTTCCCCTTCTCTTTTACCTCCTTCTTGTAGCCCAGGTTTACATCAGCCCTGATTTTCTTTAGTCTGGGGGATGCCTCAAGACAATCTTCAGCACCTCCCTGATGCTCCTAGAGTTTCATCACTTACGTCCCCACAATGCTACTGAAGATGACAAGAAACTACTGTAAATGTGAGATGTGGTCTCATTGCCTTCTTGCAAAACAAATCAGACCCTCAACCAAGCAATGATCATTGTGCAGAAGCTGGAGTTGGAATTTGGAAAGTACAGAGAGGCGGGGAATTTGAATCTGTCTGGTTCTGGGAATGCATAAAAAGCTCATACTTCCCACGAGTGGAGCACGAACAGTGATATCTTCCTGAGTCAGAAGGCAGCCTGAAACCTATCTCAGAAGGGCAGGTGAAGATCCCCCAAACCCCTTTACCAAATAGAAATCTAAACACTTAAATATGATACAGTAGTACTAAGATCTGTTGCCCAGGGGAATAAAGCATTCAGGAAAAGGCAGGGTGGTTGTGCTACAATGGGCTGTGGAAGAGATGTCACTAAAGGATCGATCATTATGCAGAGGTCTCCACTGTGATTCTATTTTATAGAAATACATTACAGAGGAAGGAGTACAGTAGGGACGAGGTTTCTGAAGCCCTGAGCTAAGAATCCTTTAGCTGCAGGGCACTGGAGGGGGAACATAAAGAATCAGCAGATGGAGACAAGGCCCTTCAGAAGTGTTTCTTTAAGCATTTATCTGTTCTGGATTGAAGTCTCTCTGAACCACAAGAGTCAGATGGAAAATCCCCATTTGACCCAGTCCAGCTCATCCTTCCCTTCTACCTAGTCCAGAAAACACCAGTCCAGGGAAACTTGGACTCCAGTGACGATGCCCAGCATCCTGCCGTGGGACTCCAGACCCAGTCTGTTATAGATGATGCTCCCCAGAGACTCCAGCAATAGTGGCAATGCGTGAGCAGACATAACGGGCGAGTGGCACCTGCTCCCCTCCTCCTGTATTTTCCTCCTCACAATGGCTGCTTTTGCTTGTTCTAGCCTATGAAGATTTCCAAGCAACTGCAACATAAATCCTGCAGCATATCATCTATGACTTTGCAAGGAGGATTACAGGAAGTCAGTGATCCATAGGGACTCTCTCGCCAGGCATCTGTCAGTGATGCATGGGAAGGGAGGGGATTTCAGTCCAAAGAGAGGAAATCACAGGGGTATCGGGGACTTTGAATGTGCCTTCTCCCTTCTCACAATTTGGTGTGAGGCATGCAGGCACAGAAGTAAGGTGGAGACGCTTCTGGGCTTCTTCTCTGCCTGAGGTTTTCTAGAGAAAGCCGAGCCAGGGGTCACCAATGAGATTAACGGCATCTGCTGTTGCTCTTCAACCCCGGACTTGAGCACCGGGTAATCAGAAGTTGACTAACAAAGGCACAGGAGAGGGTCAGTAATTGTGTTTTTCCCTTCCCTTGGTACTTGTCAGGGTGAGGTAGGCTCTTTGGTGTGCAATGAGGTGGCAGCTGCGTCTGAAGCTCTTCCCACACTCTTGGCATTGATAGGGCTTCTCCCCGATGTGGACTCTCTTGTGTCTGGCCAGGTCTGAGTTTACAGCAAAGCTTTTCCCGCAGTCAAGGCAGGGGTAGGGCCGGTCTCCCATGTGGATGCGGTGATGCCGGTAGAAGTCCGACCTCTCACGGAAGCTCTTCCCACAGTCTGGGCACAGAAAGGGCTTCTCCCCCGTGTGCGTTCGCTTGTGCCTGATGAAGTTTGAGCTCCGACTAAAGCTTTGTCCACACTCAGGGCAGCTGTACGGTTTCTCTCCCGTGTGGGTTCTCTGGTGCCTCTTGATGTCGGAGGTGCCCATGAAGCTCTTCCCACAGTCAGGACATAAAAAGGGCTTCTCCCCTGTGTGGCTTCGCTGGTGCCTCAGGAAGTTGGACCTGTGACTGAAGCTGTGGCCGCATTCGGGGCAGGTGTAAGGCCTCTCCCCCGTGTGGGTTGTCTGGTGTATGAGGAGGTCGGAAGTGCCCATGAAGCTCTTCCCGCAATCAGGACACATGAAGGGCTTCTCCCCCACGTGGCTTCTCTGGTGCCTCAGGAAGTTTGACCTGTGGCTAAAGCTGTGCCCACAGTCAGGACACACAAAGGGTCTCTCCCCTGTGTGGGTTCTCTGGTGCACCAGCAGGTCTGAGCTCCGGGTGAAGCCCCTGCCGCACTCTGTACACTTGTATTTGTCTTCACGTGCATGGAGTCTTGGTGGGATCAGAATGTCTTTGAAGTCCTCACTATCATCACCACAGCAAGGAGAGATACCCCAAGTGTCCACTAAGGGGTCTCCCTGCTGGAAGTCTGTACACAGATTGAGGGAAGCATTCCCTTTGGATTGCGCTGATGACTTCCCGCATGGTTCAGCTTGCTCAGGACCTTCCTCCTGAGGCATTGCTTCCTCATTCTTGTCCACCACCCTTTCACCTACTGGGACAGAGACTATGAGTCACTAAACTATGTCTGTGCAGTTTTACTTAATGCACCGAAAAGACTTTGAAACCGGTGGGAAATCCCACTCGTGCAAACACAAGCACAGTTGCAGCACTGTAAATGGGAAATCTCGTGGTGTGTACATGCAGCCAGAGGCTATAGCAGTGAAGACAGTGAACCTCAGAGGAGGATGGGGAAAGAGGGAATCAACCCAAACAAATGCTTGGAGAGTGATCAAGGAATTCAGTCCTCTACAAGCCCTTCCCCCATGGACAGAGAGAAAATGACCCATTCTGTTTCCACAGCACATGCGACTTTGCATGGGGAAGGGGGTTTCTGGAAGGTGTCTCTCAGACGGGATATCTGGGAGTGACATTTTGCCATGAGGACAAGACAACTGTTGGATACTATTCAGGCCTGGCCCAGATGAGGCAGACCCGAGGTCTATGTGGGAGTCCTGACAGTCTTTGTGTCAGGCTAATCAATCCCTCACCCATGAGGATGCTCCTCAGCATCTCACTCTCTGTGGAGTATTGCAGATCCAGGACCCATGGCTCTTCCCCTTCTTCCATCTGGGAGACCACATCCAGTCTGGGAACTGGAAATCCTGCCAAGGAAAAAGTGAACAGGGGAGACCAGGGATTGCTACTTATGCAGAAAATATCTGTTACAATGCTCTGCTCTGAGACTCAAAAATCTTCAGGGACTAGGATCCTTGATGACTCCAACACATTGATGGTGGTAATCCTTTTACTTCTCATTAAACCCCCACAGACCAGAGCACGCTCCACAAATCAAGTCAGTGCCACAAAGGATGGGGGAACAGAGATTCTCTGTGTTTTCATGACTGAATATGGACAGATACACACAACACTCCTTCCTGCTTGACACCAGGAGCATCCCAGTGGTGTCTTTCATCTTCCTGTTGCAGGGGATATGTGGACTGTCTCACATGTGCTCACAGCCAATCTGTCTGACAACCAGTCCGTCTCACATGGGCTATCAGGGAGATGATGGGACTGAATTCTTGCCAATCGAGGCCGTGTTTTCTCTAGGGAATGTGGCAAGTAAATCTGCCTGCAGTTCAGCTGACCAAGTCAGCTGCAGGGTACACAAGGCTCTTGAAGCCTCACTGCTGTTTATGAGGTTAATTAAACCACCTGTGAATGGGATCCTGGAAGACCCCTGGGGAGAAGCTCAACCTAGTTGCCCAACCATTCCTCTCCCTCCCCAGCTTTAATACCTTACCGAGTGAGGCCACCGTCTCATAATTCTCCTGCATGACGGCACTATAGAGAGCTTTCTGGCCGGGGTCCAGCAGAGCCCATTCTTCCGTGGTGAAATACACAGCCACCTCCTCGAAGGTCATAACCTCAGGTGTAGCCATTTCTTTCCCCGTTCTATGAAGTGGCTCTGGAGTGAAACATGGAAGTTATTCTCTGCTCTGTCAGGGTAAGAAGGGAGATCAGGAAGATATCTATAAGACCATTAGTCCTTTTCTCACCCACATCCTACCCCCCTCCCCAACCTCTTTCCATGCAGACAAAAGATCTAGACTCAGCGGTTTTCAGGCTGTGGTCTGTGGATCCCTGGGGGTCCACAGGTTGTGTTTAAGGGGTCTGCAAAAGATGACTATGATCAATCAGAAGTATGTGAATACCCACACTTACAATTCAAAGGGATCCACACCTCCATTTGAAATTTTTTAGGGGTGCACACATGAGAAAAGGTTGAAAACCACTGATCTAGACCTTGCAACTGGCAGAAAAAACCCAGGCCATTTTGTTCCAGGACAGGCCCAGCTTTTCTCACCTGACTTACGTCTGCTGTATATTTTTCAATGCCTTTCTTTTGAGACAGACAAGGTTCCTTGGGTGAATTTTGAGACAAACTCTGGAAAACTCTGGAAAAGTTCAGAATCAAAGAATCCGTAATGTTTATAAGATTGATATTTGAAGGACTGTCACTGGCATCTGTGTTAGCATCCTCTGAGAAGTGGTAGGCACTTTCTTCACATACCCTGGAACCGCAAGAAGTCTTTGCATCAGATACACTCAGATCTCATTTTTAAGGTTTTCTTTGCTATGGTGACAAATGGAGACCTCTGCAGAACAGCTGAGAGTTTGCTCCAGGTTCTTCACCCTCTCTCCTAGTCACAGTGACACTCTACACATTTGATAAAGGCGCTCAAGGAAAAATCTGCTCCGTAAGTATGCATGTGTGTCCACAGGACCGGGAGAGGATATGTTTCATGCTTAGGGAAAAAAGGTAAAAAATCAGGGGAGATTTTACAATATTGAGGAAATGATGGTTCTCTCCTCCTCTCTCCCTTTCTGCATTAGGCTGTGCATGCATTGACATTACTGATGAAAGAATATTCTTTGTTTGGGCCAGAATCAAGGCTTCTGCATTGTGCCAAAACACAAAGTCATATGTGGACAATCAGAAGACAGGTCAGGCATTGAAGGGGTACTGCTGAGTTCTTCTTTGAGACACTTTGGGGCAGATATTCAGAAGTGCTGATCAGCTGCAACTCAAATGGAGGAGACTGGGATTTCAGCTGCTCTGAAAGGAGATTTACAGAGTTCCTTAGACCTGAGGCATTCAAAATCTTTGACAAATGTGGCCAGATTGTATGGATGTTCAAATGCCCTGACTTGGGGAGGTCCTAGACCTCTGTCACTCACCCCATTGTGCTCTGGAAATGCAGCATTCAGCAAAAGACTCATCCTTTTGCACTGTACACACACACACACGTATTGCCCATTATCTTATTTTAGCCATAAAAATAGCCACAGGGATTCTTTCCTACTGGTAATAGGTATTTCCACCTTGGTCAGTAAAAGAGCCTCCCTTCCAGGGTCATGAGAACAATCCAAAGAGGTAAAAATTACTGGGCATTTTGGGGGGTTTAAAACTTATACTATGCAGCACCTGAAAGGCTCGAAGAGGTTTCTTTGCACCGAGTGTTTCTTAGTCTGAACATCAGAATATCAGGAGAAAGAAGTCTCCTCTGGAGGAGGGGATTTTTGAAGGGGCTTCAGTTCCTTTCACACCCTGCGTTTCCACAGGCTCTTTCCATGCAGATTTTCTAACACCTGTCACACAGGCAGAGCACTGTGCAGACCAGGGCTAACCCCACTGAGATGACTTTATCCTTTCTTTCTGTGCAGGGCAGCTGCAGGGAAAGGGCCTGGGAGCTGGTCACCTCCTTACCCACTACCTGCTCAGCTGCCCCTTCCCATCTTGCTTCCCCCCACTTTTGCCTCTCCCATTCTCTCTGGCTGAGACATTTAACCACAGCCCCATGTCCAGGAGCATTCACTCTCAAATAGCCAGATCTGCTCTGTGAATGCTACCGGGAGCAAGAGCTGTGTGTGTCAATAAGGACAGCAGCTCTGGGACTCGCAGAGCAGAGATGGGTTCAGAGGGGTCCTGTGTGCAGAGCCCCTGCCCTGCCCATCCCAGCCTTTTCCCTGAGGTCTGTTCCCATTACCTGGAGTCTCCGGCTCAGGAGCTGGTGTCAGCAGAGCCCGGGGCTGCCCTGGGGGCTTGTTCCACCCACAGAAGGAAATCCATCTCTGAGCTGGGCACTGAGGGGCTTGGATAAAGGTCTCTCTCCAGCACAGACACCACCAGTCTGGAGCAGCAACTGCTCAACTCCAGCTGGATACATTAGCTGCATCTGACCTAGGAAGCTCATACACTGGAGCAGAGAAAAAGGGAGAGGGAGAGGGACTTAGTAGTAGCCAGAGCCCTCTGGCGGCTCCAGGAAAGGAAAATTCCCTCCTTGAGCTTGCCTCAGGACACACACACAGCTCAGGGGAGGTCCAGCCCGGACCTCCGTCACCTTCCTGAGCAGAGGGAAATGCTGCAGCAGTGATTCGCACCCAGGGTGCTGTGACACCTTGAGGTGCTGCAAGATCCTTCTAAGGGTGCTGCTGGGTGCCGCGCAGTATTAGCACTGTGCAAACACCGACATGTGCTTCACAGGAGAAATCCAGAGATTTCAAATGGGAATCCTCGGCCTCCAAAACCGTCTCCCCAGTTCTGGTCTTTGTTGAGTTCTTTGCAACAGAGGAATTGCCCCATTATTTTTCTGCAGTCAAAAAAAGAGTGATGGCTAAGAGCTGGCGTTCTCAACCTTTTTAGACTTTTGAGTCCACTGGTCTACAGTGAATAAACCAGCAGAGAGATGTGCCTCAGTAGTGTCATTCAGGGCTCTGGGCAGCCCCAGCCTAGGACCCAGTGTCCATTGATCCTGAGTGTCTTTTAATTTAGAGACCTTCTGATGCAGTCTTCAGGCCTTCCTGGAGGTGCTCTTTCTTTCCTGGTTCCTATCAGCTCCCACTGCTTCGGCAAAGGTAGCAGGCTGTTCTTTGTGGATCCCAAGTCCCCCTACAGCCCCCAGCTGCCGCTCAATAGGCACATAAGAAGCAGGCCATGTAGGCTCTGAGGAAGAATTTGCCTCTGTGTGATAAGGTCCAGCCAAACCCCAAGGAAGGACACTCCAATCCCAGCCAGGGCATCAGGAGATGAAGGAGCCAGAAACCAGCAGCCTTGTTATTCAGCACTCCCAATCCTTGTACGCCTGCAAGATGCTGCAACAGCTGCACCAGGACCAAGTGCATGTGTCAGATAAGGCCAGAAAGCTGATAAAGTCCTCTGTGAGTGGCCTCTACAGCTGGGTGTCCACAAAAGTTGAGCAGCTGAGAATGAAGAAGCAGCTCCCTGCCATCAGGTCTACAAAGATTTGAGCTGCCCTTGGAGCTGGTGGTGCCTGAGGAACTGGCCAAGCGCATTGTCACTGCCATCTTTGGGAGCGCTCCGTAAGGGACATCTCTCCCCTTCCCCCTGGGTACAAGCTGGCTAAGAGAAGAGGAAGAACAGGAAAGGAGAAAGAAGAGGCATAAACTCCAGCCTGAAAGAGACCCTGGTAACTGCCTTGCTCAAGATCTTGTTTTATTTTATGATGCCCAGAACCCTGCATAGCTACTTGTTGTCCTATGGGCCAGCTTTGCACACAAGCTACTCAACCAAGAGAGCTGGTTCTAGGAGCTGAATCAGCAAAGAGATGTTTTCCATCTCTTGTTTCACAAGACTCACAGTGTCTGAGAGAAATGATGGAGGCCTGGTAATGTCAGCAATAGGGAAAAACAAGGGGATTCAAACTGGAAAGACTGCATGCAGAGCACAGTATTCTAATGCAGTATTCAAAGTATTTGACAGGGTGCTGTCACAATAAATCAGGTCCTTTGCAACAATATTTTGCTGTTGCATGATTCATTTGTCTCTGGGAATAACAATGGAGCTAGGCTGCATTTGGGGATGTAACATTAAATATTGAGAGGGTCACGTCATGCATGATTAAGAACTGCCTTTTCACTATGTTATATTTGAAAAAAACAGTTACTCAAGGGACTAAGGGGTTATGCCCCACTCCAGAGACTTTTAATATAGAAATGCCATTTCTTCCTAATCAAGAAGTTTCCTTCCTGCATATTATAACTTTTAAAGATCCAACTCCTAGTACTGGAGCAGGATGGTCTATTTAAAGGGTTGCAAATTCATTTTGAAATAGCCAAGAAACTCTGAGGCCAGGAAATGATTGTGGATGGTACTGAAGAGGTCAGAGGGGAATACTTGGGGATGCATCACAATGACACTAACACTTGCTTAGCTAATGATCAAAAATTACCACTAAGTTGTTGCCAATATTTGTTCTGTATCTTGTTGGTATTGTAAAACCGATTAACCAGCTCAGATTATTTCTGATCATTTCAGATTATTAACCAGCTGTGATTCTCTCTCACTGGCCTGACTATACATGCTGAACCATGAAGCAGTGAAGTCATAACTCTCATTGCAGGGTTGAGCTCCAAGGCTGTGAAGTCATTGCACCAATATAGCATAATCATAGTCCTGTGGCAAAGACAGCCTTATACAGCCCTGTGACATCTCGATCTTTCAGCCAAGATGGTGCACAGAAGCTGGGGAAGTCTCTACCCTACAGCCAAACAGGCTCAGACTGCTGCTGTTCACAGCTGTGTAACACGCTGGCTCTCTGTCCTGCTCTCCCTCTAGCAGCTCTGGGCCATAAAAAATGGCAAGAAGCATGCATTGTGATTATATTCCCATAGCTGCTACTGCTGCTCACTGGCATTGTCCTCCCTCGATTTAATTAGTGTTGTTTTCTTGGGCATGCCTGTAAGGAAAAGTCTAAGGATGCAGGTGCATTTTTTAAAATTCTTTTGAAATGCCTGTCACTAGTCCAGAAATGTTATAGCTAGGGGAAAAAATTGCAGAAGCTCCACCCAATTGCAACTGATGTGAACAATGCACCTTCTACAAAAGCTGATGAGAGCAGAACCAATTTAGGGAACCCCTACATTGTTCTGCTCCAAGACTCACCTGCTGCCCACCACTTACTCTAGCAATAAACTGTCTGCAGTGGGGAGCAGGAGCACAGCACATGCACCCCCAGAGGTGATTTCTGCTTCACCTTGTAGGGGCACATGGCTCTCCTATCTATTTCTCTGGAAGAAGATGCCTCCTTGGTTCCATAGAAAGTGCCTGGATCTCGATTCACTCCAATAGGAAATTTTAACCTGTGGTAAGATGCCTCCATCTGCTCAGAATCCTGCTTCCCCCTGACTTACAAAAGGTGTAAGTGTGTTAAAATTCTCTCTTAAAATTCATTGACTCCTCTGTGAAATCCTATGAAATATGAACTTTCATTTCTACCCAGAACTTTTACAATCTTTTCTCCAATGCCTGATGAAGGGTGTTTGTGTCTGAAAGCTTGCAATTAACAATTTTTTTTTGCAAAAAATCTTGTTGGTCTAATAAAAGGTATCATCTCTACTACGAGTCCTGATTGCCTTTAAAATTCTCTGGACATAGCAAATGGACAAGTGTATGGACAGCATAAAAATGATCGTTGCTTCTATCATGAATAGCCCAGGTATAAGACCACCGACCCAGAACATATGAGACTTGGATGCTAGGCCTCAGCATCAGGGATTTGAATGCACATCTCCTCTAAACTAAGAGCACCCTAACCTCCAAGCTATGGAGCAGACAGGGCTGTGTACAACTCTCACCTCCCCCTCACCTCTTGAGACTGGCCCACAGGAAGGGACAAGGACAGAGTCATGCAACAAGGGCAGCAAGCAAGCAGGGGCCTAGCTCTGTGGTCGAGATAGGCGGGCACTGCACCTTACACGGTTGGGAACCCTGGGCTTTATGCATTTCACTCAATGCAAAGGGCCTCCTGGGCTACTGAGTCCAGTCCCCTGCATTCTCAGGCAATCGCTAACCTAAGGAATCATTCAAAACGGCCACTTCAAACCCTCATTCCCAACTACAAAACACTCGTGCAGAGCTACCAAGTGGTATGTTACT